GGCTATGACTAGATCTCATACAACCAACTTTTCCTGCCAACTTGTAACTTAGAAATCATTGATTTATTAGAATGATGTTTTTTATTTTGACACAATAGTCCTTTTGCTAGAATTTTTATTTCACTCACTTGTAATCTCAGATCTTTAGCATTCTTTAAATGCTACTCATTATACATTTGTTTTTTAAGTATTCAAAAATTGTACTAGGTAGATTCATACTCTGAACTTAGGAGAAGTAACTCCTATTTTACTATTCTATCCTATGTATACCAATGATTGATTACTGCCAAATTCTCTTATATACAATTTTTAAATTTAAAGACTGACACAATACTGATAAGTGGGAAGACAAAGAAAAGCCCAAATAAAGAACAATAAATGTATGCAATCAACTCTTCCACCAAGGCAACCATTCCTAACATTTTAGTGTAGGTCTTTCCAGTTTCTTTTTTGTTCATTATACTTTTTCTTTCAATCAAATGGTAGCACTTTTTAATATTACTTAATAGCAACATTCAGTAAGCATTTTCTTATGATAAAACACATTTTCATTCACAGACATCTACAAATCCAACTAACATTTACTGAACTCTTTCTATGTATCAGGCACTGGGTTCAGCACTGGGTCTCTGAGGATAAGTGAAAAAAACAGGCATAGGCATAGCCTTCATGGTGCCTAAAATTAATGTAGAAAGATAATAAATAAGTAAGCAAACAAATAAATTAATCAACAAATACCCTGTGAGCCAATATGATATTAATGGAAAGTATGTTCTTATTTTATTTTCTTGTTTGTTGAGAAATACAAATTATTTTTACATATATCAATTATTGGTGAATTGAAAAATATAATAAACAAAACAATATAATAAAACAATAACTATCTGGTAAGTGGAGCAACTACAGTCTATCCTATTTCTTCCACCAAATACAGCTATGAAACTTGGATGGGACATGTGAACATGAGAACTCTGAAAAGTAAATGACATGAGGCAGATGGGAATGATGACCAGAATTTGAAATTTTATTAAACTGGCAGTAGATTTTACCCAGAAAGCACTGGATCACAGAGATCACACCATGGAAATCACAGAGAGGGAAATGTTTAGGAAAATAATCGTAAAGGTGCTTATGAACGCCTGGGCTCACTCTCTACTGTGCATGAATGAATATATACTTAAGCATACCACAACCTTGAAAATTAAACTCATAGAAGATAGTCCACTGCCCAGATTCCAGACTGGCCACTGGGGCAGAGCACACAGAAGGAAACATCCAAATGGGGCATTTTGTGTTCATATTTGATCTCACAGTTAGTATCTGAATGGTACTGCAAAGGCTTTGAAACTGAACTGACAAGAGAACCACAGCCTATAGAAAGTGTGTCAGAACCAGTGAACTGACAAATTCAGATCAGCTTGCCAATACGAAAATTATCAACATTCTCTGTATAATTCAAACAAGACTCAGAGTCTCACAACATCATATGCAATATATCCAGAATACAATCCACAATTACTCAGTATTTCAAGATTCAAGAAAAATTCACAGAAGCCAGAAGAAAATGGAACAAACTGTGAGAAAAGAAGTGTCAGCTGGGCGTAGTGACTCATGCCTTTCCCAGCACTTTGGAAGGCCAAGGCAGGTGGATCACTTGAGCTCTGGAGTTTGAGACCAGCCTGGATGACATAGTAAAACCCCGAGTCTACAAAAAAATTTTTTAAGAAGTTAGTTTGGTGTGGTGACGCATGCCTGTAGTCCCAGCTACTCAGGAGGCTGAAATGGGAGTATCACTTGAGCCACTCTTTCCAGATGACATAGATAACCTGAATAAACCTATTTGCTTAATATCTTTCCCCAAATATCTTTTGACCTAGAGCATTTACAAGTAAACTCTAAAAAACATGTAGAAAAGAAATAAAAATTTAAAAATTATAAATAATAACAAAACTATATAATGCATTTTAGAAAACAGAAGGAAAAACACCTGCTAACCTATTTTATGAAGTCAGCATTACCCTGATAAGAAAACCACAGATAATGCATATTTTTTTCATGTACAGCCAACGATAGTGCATATTTTTTTCATGTTTGAAAACAAATAAATCAAATTCAGCAATATAGAAAAAGCATTACACAATATAAACAAATGAAGTTTTATGCACTACTAGTTCAATATTCAAAAATTAGTTAATGTAGTCCACCATTTTAACAATCTGAAGAAGACATGGTATATACTCAATGGTGAAAGACTGAGTCCTTTGCCCCTAAGATCAGAAATAAGGGAAGGATGACCACTCTTACCATTCATATTAGATTGGAAGCCGTATCAAATATAATAATACAAGAAATGAAAAAAGTCATACAGATTGGAAAGGTAGACAATCCCAAAGAACCTTAAAGCAAACAAATAAAATTCTTAGGAATAATAAATGATTTTAGTAAAGTCTAGAGAGAGGACACAATGTGAACACACTAAAATCTATAGTATTTCTATGCAAAATACTAAAAGAACACTTAAAACTCAACAATAAGAAACCAACCCCATTAAAAATGGGCCAAAGATCCTAACAGACAACTTGTTGAAGAAGATGTACAGATGGCAAAGCATATGGAAGGATACTCAATATCACATATCATTTAGGAATCACAGATTAAAACAATGAGCTACCACACACCTATTAGGATGGAAAGGAAATGCAAACACTGATGGCACCTAATGTGAGCAAGGATGTGAAGCACCAAGAACTCTAATCCATCGCTTACTTTGTGATCCAGCAATCATGCTCCTTAGTAGCTAATCAAATGAGCTGAAGACTTATGTTCACGAAAAAACCTGCACATGCATGTTTGTAGCAGCTTTATTTCTAATTGCCAAAATTTGAAAGCAACTAAGGTATTTCTCGATAAGTGAATGGATAAGTAAACAGTGATTCATTCAGACAATGGAATATTATTCAGTGTTAAAAGGAAATGGGCTATCATACATTTCCACGTAAAGACATGGAAGAAAATTAAATACATATTCGTACATGAAGAAAAGACAATTTGAAAAGACTATACAACTGTATGATTTCAACTGTGTGACATTCTGGAAAAAGGCAAAGCTATGGAGACAGTGAAAATATCAGTGGTTGCCAGCGGTGGGGCAGAGGGAAAGATGAACAGGTACACCACGCGGTTTTTAGGGCAGTGAAACTATTCTGTATGATATTTTAAGGATGGATACATGTCATTGTAAGTTTTGTTTCAAACCCATAGGATGTACAATAAGAACAGTGAACCCCAATATAAACTATAAACTTTGGGTGGCAATTATGTGTCAAAGCAGGTTCATTGGTCATCACAAATGCACCACTCTAGTGTGGAATGTCAGTAGTTGGGAGGCTGTGCATGTGTGAGGACAGAGAGTATTGTATATGGGAACTCTCTATACTGTCTTCTCAGTTTTGTATGAACTTAAAACTGTTTTAAGAAATAAAGCCTATTAACAAATAACTCAATGGTCATATTAAGATTAAAAATGTCTGCTCTTTGAAAGACGTAATTAAGAACACGGACCAAGAAATAGAAATTCCATTTGATCCAGCAATTCCATTACCAGGTATATATTCAAAGGATTATAAATCATGCTATTATAAAGACACATGCACACGTATGTTTATTGCAGCACTGTTTATAATAGCAAAGACCTGGAATTAACCAAAATGCCCATAGATGAGAGACTGGACAGGGAAAATGTCACACATATACACCATGGAATACTATGCAGCCATAAAAAATGATGAGTTCATGTCCCTTGTAGAGACATGGATGAATCTGGAAACCATCATTCTCAGCAAACCCAAGAACAGAAAATCAAACACCACATGTTCTCACTCTGGTGGATATTGAACAATGAGAATACATGAGCATAGGAAGGGGAGCATGACACACTGGGGTCTGTTAGGGGGGGACCAGGGGAGGAACAGCAAAAGGTAGGGAGTCGGGGAGGGATAACATGGGAAGAAATGCCAAATATAGGTGACAGGGATGGAGGCAGCAAGCTACATTGCCATGTATGTACCTATGCAACAATCCTGCATGTTCTGCACATGTACCCCAGAAGCTAAAGTGCAATAAAATATATATATACATATATATATATACACACATATATATACGTATATATATACAAGTCAAAGAATAAGACAATATATTTGCAATCTATATATATGCTTCTGTCAAATACATATGCATATTTGGCAGAAGACTTATATCTAGAACAGATTAAAAAAAGAAAAATACTCTTAAAAGACAATAATAAGAAAAGCAGCCCTATAAAATGGGTAAGAGGTGGTCATGGTGACTCTTTCCTGTAATCTCAACACTTTGGGGGCCAAGGTGGTAGGATCACCTGAGGCCAGGAGTTTGAGACTCCCTAGGCAATGTAGCGAGAGCTTGTCTCCATAAGAAAAAATAAAAAACTAGCTAGGCATGGTGATTCATGGCTGTAGTCCTAGCTTCTTGGGAGGCTGGGACAGGAGGATCACTTGAACCCAGGAATTTGAGGCTACAGTGAGCTGTAATTGTGCCACTGTGCTCTAGCCTGGAAAACAGAGCAAGACCCCCATCTTAATAAAATAGGCAAAACATTTAAACAAACACATTACAAAAGAAGGGAAAGCGCCCAAAAAGCACATAAAAAGAGGCTGAACATCATTAGTCATTAGGATATGAATATTAAAACCACAATAAAATACATCTTAGAATGGCTAAAGGTTAAAAGACTGTCAATACCAAGTGCTTGCAATTATGAGGAAAAAAATTCTTATACATTGCTACTGAAAATGTAAAATGGTGCAGCTGCTTTGAAAATAGGTTAGCGGTTTATTGAAAGTTAACACTTTATGTATGACCAAGCAATTTCCTTCCTAGATATTTCCCGAAAAGACTTAAAAACAAATTTTTGCTATTTTTTTCGCAACGGGTTTGCCACCAGAAGATAGGTGTCATGAAAACTACCCCTAAAAGCCAAAATGGGAAAGGAAAAGACTCATATCAACATTGTCGTCATTGGACACGTAGATTCAGGCAAGTCCACCACTACTAGCCATCTAATCTACAAATTCAGTGGCATCAACAAAAGAACCACTGAAAAATTTGAAAAGGAGGCTGCTGAGATGGGAAAGGGCTCCTTCAAGTATGCCTGGGTCTTGGATAAACTGAAAGCCGAGCGTGAACGTAGTATCACCATTGATATCTCCTTGTGGAAATTCGAGACCAGCAAGTACTAAGTACTATCATTGATTTCCCAGGACACAGAGACTTCATCAAAAACATGATTACAGGGACATCTCAGGCTGACTGTGCTGTCCTGATTGTCGCTGCTGGTGTTGGTGAATTCGAAGCTGGTATCTCCAAGAATGGGTAGACCCAAGAACATGCCCTCCTGGCTTACACACTAGGTGTGAAACAACTAATTGTTGGTGTTAACAAAATGGATTCCACTGAACCTCCCTACAGCCAGAAGAGATATGAGGAAATCGTTAAGGAAGTCAGCATTTACATTAAGAAAATTGGCTACAACCCCAACACAGCAGCATTTGTGCCAATTTCTGGTTGGAATGGTGACAACATGCTGGAGCCAACTGCTAACATGCCTTGGTTCAAGGGTTGGAAAGTCACCCATAAGAATGGCAATGCCAGCGGGACTACACTGCTTGAGGCTCTGGACAGCATCCTACTACCAACTAGTCCAACTGACAAGCCCTTGCGCCTGCCTCTCCATGATGTCTATAAAATTGGTGGTATTGGTACTGTTCCTGTTGGTCGAGTGGAGACTGGTGTTCTTAAACCTGGTACGGTGGTCATCTTTGCTCCAGTCAACGTTACAACTGAAGTGAAATCTGTTGAAATGCACCATGAAGCTTTGAGTGAAGCTCTTCCTGGGGATAATGTGGGCTTCAGTGTCAAGAATGTGTCTGTCAAGGATGTTTGTCATGGCAACGTTGCTGGTGACAGCAAGAACGACCCACCAATGGAAGCAGCTGGCTTTACTGCTCAGGTGATTATCCTGAACCATCCAGGCCAAATCAGTGCTGGCTATGCCCCTGTACTGGATTGCCACATGGCTCACATCGCATGCAAGTTTGCTGAGCTGAAGGAAAACATTGATCTCCATTCTGGCAAACAGCTGGAAGATGGCCCTAAGTTCTTGAAGTCTGGTGATGCTGCCATCATTGATATGGTTCCTGGCAAGCCCATGTGTGAGAGCTTTTCAGACTACCCACCTCTGGGTCGCTTTGCTGTTCGTGATATGAGACAGACAGTTGCCGTGGGTGTCATCAAAGCAGTGGACAAGAAGGCTGCTGGAGCTGGCAAGGTCACCAAGTCTGCCCAGAAAGCTCAGAAGGCTAAATGAATATTATCTCTAATACCTGCCACCTCAGTCTTAATCAGTGGTGGAGGAAGAACAGTTTCAGAACTGTTTGTTTCAATTGGCCATTTAAGTTTAGTAGTAAAAGACTGGTTAATGATAACAATGCATCATAAAACCTTCAGGAGGAAAAGAGAATGTTTTGTGGACCACTTTGGTTTTCTTTTTTGCGTGTGACAGTTTTAAGTTATTAGTTTTTGAAATCAGTACTTTTTAATGGAAACAACTTGACCAAAAATTTGTCACAGAATTTTGAGACCCATTAAAAAAGTTTAATGAGGAAAATAAAAATTTCATAGCAGTTTGACTCAGAAAAGCTAATAAATGGAAAGAATCCAATGTTCATCAACAAGTAAATGGATAAACAAATTATGGTATATAATACAATGGAATATTACTCAGCAATAAAAAGAAATGAACTAACAATATACAGAGAGCAGCAGAGATGAGTCCCAAAAACATAATGCTGTGAGCAAGAGACCAAACACAAAAGAGTACTTGTTTATTTATGAAGCTCTAAAAAAGATAAATCTAATTTTTAGTGATAGAGAGCAGTGGTTGCCAGTGGCTGAAAGTTGGGAGCTGATTTACTGGATAGGGGAGCAAGGAATTTTGGGATGTTAGATATCTTCTATTTTCAATTTTGGTAAGAGTTATATCAATATATAAACTGGTTACATTCATTGAAAATAAACAAAGTGTATGCATTTTATTGTATTTAAATCATTCTGCAACAAAGTTAATATTTTAAAACCCTCAATGGTTTCACTAAGACTATTGCTTTCATGAAATTAATGAATCTTAAATTTGAGCAACAAAAGAATATATTGGCTCACATAGCCAAATATATAGTTTATATACTCATACTGTAGGAAAGGAGGTGGGAAGCCTACCTCAAGTAAAACAAAAATTAGGAATTCAAATATTGACAAAACTCTATTTCTCTTCACAGGACTAACTCTATTGCTGGCCTTGATTCCTCAAGATGGCGGAAACTAGGACAGCTGACAACTCCTGAACTTAAAACCTCATGGATTCATCAACCAGAAAAAGATCTTTCTTTGGAGATTTGGAGGTGAAATTTGAAAAATCTGGAGAAGGACTTCAGTTGGCTCCACTTGAGTCATGTGGATGGCTATCTCGGATGGACCACTGTAAGGGCTTAGGACACTGTGATTGGCTCAGATTGAGGTAAGTGGTGATTTCCTAACCAAGTATTCTGATGACAAAGGCGAACTTATTTAAGAAGAAAGTTAGTGCTTTTAGAATAAAAACTAAAAGCAGAAGCAAAAGAGACTTTTTATAACAGGAAGAAAATAGCATAAATAAGGCTACTGAATCATTTAAAACTAAAAATCCATTCTTATTTGTTTATCCAATAGTGAACATTAAAGAAAAGTATTTTAAATTCTCGAAGCCTATGTCTAGCTAAGACAACAAATTCATAAGGCATTTATTTTCAGCTGTAAACTTCTTATTTACTAAGAATGTGAACATTTTACACCACCAGAAGTTGATCAGGATTTTTTATTCATGTTATGAAAGAAGAAAATAGTTGTTCCTATAATCATAAAAATGCTCAGTTCAAATAGAGAGATGAACTCACTGGGATGTCACCAAGTCCCTTCCTACATGCATACTGTAGCATTGTTACACTGTTGGATTCCTCTTCATAAGTTGGGTTACATTAACTGCAGATGGTACATCTGACTTTAGAGCAGGTGTTGTAGCAGGCCTGGCCCACAGCATCCTGATGCTTATCACCTGGACAGTTTCCAGCCACAGATTGGTCTTTGAGTTGTTGAGGAGATTGTCAGAGAGATTGATAGTGTGAGCCATATTGGAATTATCCATGATAAATGACATGATTTCCTCCACTCTTCTCAAAAGACAAGCTGTGAATCACAAGACTGTTCAAATAAACTTGATGGGTACCTCTTTCCATGTGGAAGTTGCCTAAAAACACATTTACCTCCAGACTTGGGTCACCTGCACAAATCAGAGCTTTATCAACACATCTCTAGAATAACTATTAGAAGAAGAAAAAGATGACAGATTATATGGGAGTGATTTTTATGTGGCAAATCTGGAGGCAATATTCACCATTTCTACCACATTCATCAACTAAAACTGGATTACATATTCCAAATTTAACTGCAAGGGAACAGAAATGTGGTTTAGCTGTTTAACCAGGAAGAAGAAAAGGGAAATGGATATTGGTGATTATTAGTAATCTTTGCTACACAGGTACTGCAGCAATGCAAATGGGAAAACAGCAAGTTGATTGAAAATTGAAATTTACTGGAATGAAGTCAGTGATTTTTCATCTACAAGGAAGTCTCATATTTATTTCGTCTACTACTGGATAAAATTCTTAGAATGGGTAAAATTATTTCTCAAACTACAAAAGTAAAGTATGTGAAAAATCTCAATATTGTCAGCTCAGCTATCATAGAGAATGGTAGGTAATTTACCAACTTAAAACATTCTTAAAACAGAAGGCAACTAAAATTCAGTTAATAGACTTAACAAGAGAGAAAACGTGCATTATAAAATTCTCATTTAGCCAGGCATGGTGGCTCACACTTATAATCCTAGCATTTTGGGAGTCCAAGGCTGGGAGACAACTTGAGTTCAGGAATTTGAGACCAGTCTGGCTAATATAGTGAAGCCCTGTCTCTACTAAAATATAAAAAAACTTTAGCCAGGTGCTGTGTCCCAGACCTGTAATCACATCTACTGGGAGGCTGAGGCGTGAGAATCACTTTAGCATGAGAGATGGAGGTTGCAGTGAACAACAAGAACAACATAACTCAATTCAAAAAGAGAAACCAGTAACACCATTTTTAATTTTATAATCACTAAATTACATATAAATTATAAAAGAATCTACAATTAAGAAAAAATATCTGTATTCTTTACTTGTGTTCTCTTTATTGACCCCTACTCCAGCCCTCTGAAATTAGGAGCAAAAGTTATTTACTTATGGTTAAGACTATGGTGAGGAGCTGGGAGAATAGTTTACTTCTGAAATGTCAGAGGAGACTTCCATCATGATTGCTGGGGCCTTGGTAATTACATGGCAGTGATGTTCATCCTAGCCCAGACTTTATCCAACATGGTCTTACTGGACTCAGGAGCTAAATGGCTCCACTCATCGTCCCCATATCAAACCTTGTAGTGATGTGCTTTTCCTGGCCTGATAGGTAATTTACCAGCTTTCATTCATTCATTCATGGTAAATTGTGGGGGTTTTTAAAATCAATTTTAGGAAAAAGAGAGAAAGAGGGAAAAAGAGACAGAGATACCAAAGAGAGATATAATTTAAGAAGAGTATAAATGAACACATTACAGACTTAGATTTATCATGCAAATTCAATCCACGGTTAACAAAATATAATAGAGTATTATGTCATATTTACCAAGTGCTCATTTTTCACTAAGCATTATTCTAAATGCTTTAGAACAGCAGTCCCCAACCTTTTTGGCACCAGGGACTGGTTTTGTGGAAAACAATTTTTCCAGGACCAGATAGTGGGGGATGGTTTTGGAATGATTCAAGCACATTACATTTGTAGTGCACTTTATTTCTATTATTATTACATTGTAATACACAATGAAATAATTATATAACTCACCATAATATAGAATGGGGAGTCCTGAGTTTGTTTCCTGCAACTAAATGGTCCCATCTGTGGATGATGGCAGATTATGACTGATGATTAGGCATTAGATTATCATAAGGAGCATGCAACCTATTTCCCTCACATGTGAGGTTTACAGTAGGGTTTGCCCTCCTACAAGAATCTAATGCCTCTGCTGATCTGACAGAAGGCGGAGCTCAGGTAGTAATACCAGAGATGGGAGGCGGCTGTAAATACAGATGAAGCTTTATTTACTCTCCCTCCACTCACCTCCTGCTGTGCCGCCTGGTTTTTAACAGGCCATGGACTGGTACTGCTCTGCGGCCTGGGTGCTGGCGATCCCTACTTTAAAATGTCTAACGTATGTCTAAGGTTCACTTGGTATCACTATTACTTCCTTCCAAGGCCTTCCCTGAATGGCAGAAGTAAAGCTGGGAAACTTGTTTCCCAGAATCCTCCTTTCTGTAAGATTCCTGGTTAGAGTTTGCAAATTATAGGAAACTAGGAAGGTGTAAGTGAAGGAGCTCTTAGTCTCCAAAGGCAGTTCTACCCAGACTCATAGACTTCCTGATGAATCCTTGACAGCCGTCTACTTTGCTTCTACAGACAGAAAAATTGATAAAATATTCTCAAAGATTCTGGAGAATTGCAGCAACTTCCTTTAGAAGTTTATGAGAACCAGACTTTTTGTTGCTTTAGTTTGAGATCTTCAATGATTGCCTCCCTGACATTGGAGGCATTTTCTTGGACTTGTAGTGAGGGTTTGAGGGTCAGCAACCATGAAAGTCTCTATTTTGACATCAAACACTTATCACCCAGAAAATATGTGATGACTTCTGTTTTATTGGCCAAACTATGATACAAGTAATCACAATCATTTTGTAATATAGACATACAAGCACATCACCTACATTTTTTTCATACTAAACAAAAGCTTAGAAACGTAAATATCTTGTTAAAGTTTACACAGCCAAAATTCAAACTCAGTACACTAACTCCAGAAATTATCCTTTTCCTTATAATGTTCTACTCTCAGTCAAGTCGGCACCGATGAGAGATAGAAATAATTTTATAATAAAACAATAACTCAACAACATTAAACATGTACCTTCCTATTCAGCCACCTTTCCTCTTTTTTTCCAAAAAAAAAACCCTTTCTAGAACTTCTTTCCTACATTATCAATATTAATAGTTTGCATTAGCTTCCTTATCATGTCTATTAAATTTATTGGTAAATACTGAACTTTCTAGACTCCTAGATTTGCTCATAATCATCTTAGACTATTGGATGCTCAGGCATTACAGTTTCTGCTTAGCTGGTAGTTACAACTCTGCACACAAAAAGAATCTTCTTTCAATAGTCGTTTCTCACAGGAAATTGCAACAAGCAATTAAGCATGGTAGAATTGAAAACTAACTTGGAAGATTTTTTGAGAAGAAACGTCTCAAAATTAAAAAAATAAAAAGACAAAATAGAAAAATGTTATCATGCAAAGTACTCAGGACAGAAAACAGGCTTCCCAACTTAGAAGAGGTATTAATAATTTGGGGTCACTTTAAATTACCATTCCTTTAGAACATTTATCTTCACTTTTCCATTTTCTTGAAGAATGAATACTAAAATGTGCAAACTTGA